TAAATTACCATTCCCGGTTCTGTATTTTATTTATTAATGCATTTTTAATAATATATGGTTAATAAAAATCTATTTTAAGCTTACAAACAAATAAATTTTAGTTTTTAATATAGTACAGAAAAAAGTATTCTAAATTTACGAATGTATGTACTGTAAATATAGAACATACTAGTATATATTTTAATCTGATTCTATGTGCTTTAAACGTTTTTATAGTGATATTACGACTTCAATATTTGTGGCGGACAGACGTAAAGTCGAATAAAATGACTTAAACTTGATTTTTATTTTTCCATATACTTTCTTGACAAACGACGTATAATTGGGAACGACGTAACTCGAAACGACGTAAGTCGAGGTATGCCTGTATTCATTAATAAAAATATTTAAGTTTAAAAACCTGTTTTGAAAAACTGTATTTTGGCCAATAACAAATAATAATGACTATATATTTTGAAAAATTAATTGAAGATGTTTGATTTTATCTAGAAAAAAAGTAGCATGGGGCAGTTGAATCTATAATTATGGTACAATATGTCAACTATTTAAATCAAATTTTTATTGTAACATTTTAACAGAAATATTACAATAAAAAACAAAATTATCGTTTTTGAAATGTAATTTTGTTTCCTTCAAATAAAAAAATGAAATGAAATTATTAAAATTTTTAATGAAAGTAGAATTTTTCATTTCTATACTTCTTTACAGGAATAAATTTAAAAACATATATACTGTGGAAACTTGATTTTCCAAAGTTGATGAAATGCAAAATTTTGGATAATCCAGAAACTCGTTTATTCTTGTGTTTGGTACCCAAAACAAAAATAATCAAGCACTGTGCATTTAAAGTTTCATGAAATCTAAATACTCTATTTGAAAGTAAATTAATTTACTCAAAACATAACATAATGTTATATATGAGTTATTACTATATAAAAATGTATATAAAGCACAAATTTGTAAGGATATATAATAAGCAAACGAAAATATAAAATGGGCAACCCTATTTCTAACTTTTTATATTTTTTGGACATCAATAAATGTACAAACTTTTATTTTTAAATTTTGTTGTTAAATTATTTTTAACTAATTTTAAAATTTTAAATTATAAAAATGATTTGAATATATTTTAATGGAATATTTCTGAATTTTATATAATGAAATATAAGTTGTTTTATAATATTAAAGTAATTAAAAAATTTTAAATTTTGTATTTAAGTTATATAAGTACAATAATCATTAATGCAATGTGTATATTTTCTATATTTTTAAACAATATATAATAAAAATATGCAAAAATCAACATCTTTGCAAGATTTTACAAAATTAATATAACAATACATGTCTCAAATGTAATGATATACTATTATATAGAACTTCCATATTAACTATTAATAACCCAGAGCCAAACCATCAGTTCTAGGATCACATCCAACCCACAGAACATTATCAGAAGAGCTTTCTGATCTATTCCACCAAGTGCCTCGAGTAATGATGTGCCCTCTGCCAAATCGTGTTCGATCAAAACCTTGCACTGGATATTTTATATTATGTCCAAAAGACTGTAATTTTTCTTTTACTTCTGAAGCTATTCCATCTTCTAACCATACTGTATAGGGCTTTCTATAACAAAAATATATTAAAATAAATTAAGTTACAATAAAAATAACATGAAATTGCAAGCACTAAGTTACAAATTTTTAAATTAAATCATAATAAAAAATATTATAAATGAAACAATTCTGGCATGATCAATGTTTCAAACTTCAAATAGTAATGAATATATTACTTAAAAAAAAATAAAATGAGCCATTTAAGACAGGAAAAATGTTGATAACTTACAATTTATATATTTTAAAATAAAATAAAACAAAAATATGATTAATATAATATGACTAATTAGAGAAATAAAGTACTGAAAATAATTAATAATAATTAATAATATTTTGAATTTATAAACACTTAATTTTCTAGCATACTTAAGATTTTATATAAAAACTTCTGTAAATTTTTTTTCATTTGTACTATAAAATTTATTGTTTCACTCTGTACATATTATTATATTTAAAGAAAAAGAAAAACCTTAAAATCACTTATGTCCTTTAAAACTTTATATATAAATTATTTAATTGAAGTTTTTCTTTATTTCTCTATGTAGAAAAATTTTACTTATTTTTCTTTAATAATTAATTAATTTCACATTAATTAATAATAAATTACTGTATTTATTACTGTGAATTAATTTATATTTGATAAATTACTTTTTATAAAGATTAATAAAACAAAAGAAAAACTTTCTTAAATAAGTTTACATTTTAAACTTTAATAATATGTTTGTTTCTGAGAGTATCCCTAATAAACTGTAATTTTTCTTTTTATACATTGTGTATTTAAATTCAGTTAAAAATATGAAAAAATATAGATGTTATCATTATTGAACTTACTCTTGATAGAATTCTGTATTAACAAATAATCTTGGCTTGTCTAAAGCTGTCTGGGGATCCATTCCAAATATCAACATGTTTAACAGCATCTAGAATAAGTCAGCATAAATTCTTAAGTTGATATTTAATGTAAAATTGTTTTTATATAAATATTTTTCAGTTTAATGAAATATAAAGAATTGCAAATATACAAATATCATGATTAAAGTAACTATACTGTATATTCTTTTAGAAATGCTTTCAGATTAATTTCATGAAGCATCAAAGCTTCATGAAATAGAACTTAGATACAATTCAGAAAACAGTATATAAAATTATAGCTTTGCAGATTATAATTTTATATACTGGAACAAAATATATGGACCAGTATGAAAATAATTATTTTTCTTAATATGTTGCTATAAATTAATTGTTATAACTTATAATGTGATTAAATTATTAAAAAAAATTATAAAAACTGCGCTATATTTTTACATCTTTAAAAATACATTTTCTCCAAAAGCACAGGAACTCTGGAAAGTTACTGTTACAGTAGAAAATCTTTAAGTAAAGTTTTAATAAAAGTTTACATATGATACTGCAGTTTTTCCTACAGTAAATTCTGGACATGTCCTCCTAGAGACCTGGCAGGCCAGATCCCATGAGAGAGTATGCAATCAGCAAAGAAGTCTTCCAAAAACTAGTCTGAAAACCAGAATATCTGAGCAAGCAATATCATCATCTACTGCAAAGTGGAAATGTGGTACTTACAGGTCTGATATGCAATGCCATACATATAACTTTAATGTCATTACAAATTTCTCACTGCACAATAAATCTGTGGACACCTTGTATCAGAGGTGGGAGAGTGCTTGGATTTATTGGTGCAAGATAACCAAATTTATTGAAAAATGGGTGCATTGCTTGTTAAAGAAACTTTAATATAGCTGGATAAGCAACCAATAAACCAATAACACAGTATGTTTCAAATGAAATAGGCTATGTCTGTGGATTCTTTATCTAAATTTTAACAATAACTATTATAAATATAAAAATAGTACCTTTAAATAGTACTTTAAATAAAACTTTAAATTTAATAGTACCTTTAAAACCATGTTATAATTGAAAAAAACATTAAAATATTTAATTGTCAATTGTATTCATTTGCTAGAATTATATAAACAAAAACTAGTAATAAACACAAATTCAACATAAATAAAATAGTCAGTTAAATTAAACTAAACATTTTTGGAATAACTTGGCTCCAACATCAGATACTATGCTTAAATAGAACAGTTCATTTACATTTTAAATGTTAACATCTCTTTTGAGTGTAAGAAACAAAGCTTCCATATGACTCTGTTTCCTTACTTTTAATTAGCAAAATACAAAAATAATATAAAAAAATAAAAGTCTATTGGATTTATCAAACTATGGAATTAGTATATCTTAATGATTTTGAGTATGTGGTCCAGCTTCAGAGACTAATTAATAAAAACTTATATCGATTATCACTGAAATAAATTCATATTAAAATTAAGATAGTAATTTTTTAATTTCATAATTTCAAAAAAATAACTAGATTCTGAATAATAATTAAGAAAATAAAAGTATAAATAAATAGTTAATACAATAATAATTATGTAATAGATCTATAAGTAATTATTGATAACAAAATAATTTCTTAAATTCTTACCTGTACTTGTCCTTGTGGTTGCATAAATTTTCCAACTACTCCATAAGAAGCTAATAAATTATTACTTTCAGGTTCAGTCAACATTGCTGGAATAATAGTGTGATAAGGAAATTTTGCTGGTCCAAATACATTTGGATGATCAAATTGCAAAGAAAAATTCAGCCCTCTGTTCTAAAATTTAAAAAATTTTATTAATAAAGATTAAATATCTTCAAACAGGTACATCTCTCTTTGTCTGATCTACAAACATCAAAATACATCTGAAATACTTTCTTGCAACAAATTAATGAAAATGGTTAACAATATATAAAAGCAATTTTTATTAATCAATTTTAATACATCATTCTGTTAACCTTAATTATTTCAATCAAAATAAAAATGCAATAAAATTACATTTAAAGGGAATCCACATCCTTCAGGCACAATGCCAGAACCAAAACTCTGATATACACTACTAATAAATGAACAAGCATTTCCTTCTTCATCTACCACTGAAACGTAAGTGGTATTTGAATCACTGTCAAAAAGATCTCCAGGATGTGCAAGAGATAAAACACTGAAAAAATAAACAACTTCAGATTAAACTGTCAATAAATTAATTTAATACATTATTTAAAATGTAAAAGTCAATTACAAACTACTATTTTAGTTATTTAGGTCAACTCTATTGTTTTATGTTTTACATAATCTATAAATAAACAGTCTCAGTTTCAGAAGTTTAGATGTTTCTGAGAAGACATTAAAAATGTTAATTCAGTGATATTTGAATGCAATTCAAACATTCATAATGTCTTCTCATAAATATCCTCTTATGAGAAACTATCAAAGCAGAGGATACTGGTCAATATAAATCATGTCAATTTTGCTTAATATATAAATATTAATTTATCAAAGTCTATTTAAATAAACATAAAAATTAAATCTGAAAACATTTAATATTTATACCAGGGCTGTGGAGTTGGAGTCGGAGTCGTGGAGTTTAGGTGTTGGAGTCGGAGTCGGTAGATTTTTACGCGACTCCACAGCCCTGATTTATACTCATGCAAGTTAGATGACTCCATGAGAAGACCAGAGAATATGTATATAAATTCTAGAATAGATATATCTATTCTCTGGGCTTCCTGTGGAGGTGTCTAATTTGCATAAGTGTATATATTAAACGTCTTCAGATTTAATTTTTAATAAAATATTCAAAATATGTATAAATTCTAATTAAATATCTTCAACTATAAGTTTAAATTAGAAAAAATTTATTTATATATCATATAAATGCTTATAAAGAACAAATAGAATTAAAAGAAAGAAAATATATAAAGAACAATTTTTGTATTATTTTTTTATGTTCTACTTTTGTTTATCATTATAAATTATATCCGGTTAAATCAATACTTGAATTTAAAACGTTTTTGTAAATAGTTAAATAATATTCAAGATAAACAAAACTATTATATAACAATGTTTAAAACTACATCTATTTTTGAAATAAAATCTCCAAACATTAGAACTCTTGTATGAATTATTTATAAACAACTTTTAAAGTACATTTACTAGACCTCACTGTATTCAACTTATTATTTTTATTTATGTTTTTCTCCTTTGACATTTTTGACCACTCATTTTGCCACTTGAGTACTCACCTCATCCATTGAACCAGCACTTCACAAGAGTAATCTGTCAAGAAGAATAACCTTCCACAAGTACTTTCTACAGAAAACTGGCTTCATTTAGGTGTTAGACATGTGAAGGAACCTGCTAAACTCTTTGTAGCTAGTCTGTTGATCAGATATGAACCCAGGACCAACACCAGTGTTCAATGGTTTTATCTACTCAGCTACTAATGGGGCAAAAACTTGTTAAGGACAAAGCTTATATATTTGTATAAAAGAGACTGATGAGACTGAAAAGAGACTATGTACAGGTAAAATAATTTAAGTTGTATTTTTGGACCACTTATATAGAATGTCCTAAAAGTCAATTAATCAAAGAACATGATTGTGTTAGCACATTTGAAAATTTTAAGTGAAAGATTTTATAACTGAAGTTGAATTTTTATCTGCAATAATTTCTGCAGAATAAAAATTATTTGTTATGATGAATTTTTAATCCATTCTATCTTTTGCCTATTGGAAAGAATAAAATAGATTAGGGGTCGGCAACCTTTCAGCAGTATTGTGCCGAACATAAGTTGCAGTGTTATTCCAAGTGTTGACCTGATTCTACCAAGTTTATTATATAAGTTATCAAAATTAGTCTGGTTATAACAGACTTCAAAAATGTATAATTTTGAAGTTAAGTTGTTAGTTGAATTATGTTCTTACATGTGAAGTGCTTGCATAACATGTAGATGCAACACAGAACATAAATGCATGCACTGTAATAGAAATATAAAAACAAGATTAATTTTTAATGTACCATGGCCTTCACTGAACTATGACTTCTGTTTAAATGTGTAATTAATAATATTAAAATATAATTTTTACTACATTTCTATTCAATTAGAGTGCCACTGAAAATCGTCCTGTGTGCCACATTTGGCACACGTGCCGATCCCTAAAATAGACAATCAATATCATCCAGTTTTCTTTTATCTGAACAAAAACAAAATGAATAAAACAAACCTACATTGAATAAAAATAAGGTATTATTAAATAATTAAAAAAAAACCTTGTGTCATAATTTTTAGAATAATCTTCAACAGAAGATATCTTCTCAATAAACTGACCTTTAAGATATCTGCAGCCATTTCAGAAATTAATTTCTATTTAAAAAGTAATTTTCTACTCAATTATTTAAAACTCTAATACTCACTGTAATTTTAATCTAATTACAGTGAAATTCTGCTAACCCAATAAGCTGGCATGTTAAACTTGTCATTGTGGTTATCAGTGCACTGGGTAGGTCTGGAGTTAAGATTTTCATGTAAAAGCACTCAAAACATGCAGTTCTTAGAAAGGAGTATGGGTTCTCCTTCTAGAGATGACAAATGCCAAAAATAACACGATACTGTATTAGGTAAAACTAGTTAGTTCATGCATGATTTTTCCAAAATCATTAGTGCAAAGGTTTGATATGAGAAGCAAAAATAGTTACCATACTTGGAATCAATAATTATCACGAAAACAGCTATAGTACATTACTGTTCATATACTTTGATAATTACAGTTTGCGTGTATTTAAATGCAATAAAAGTATACAAAGCACAAAGTAAGAATAGTGTGTTCTTGTTTCAAGCCAACTCTTGAAGCCTGAAAAAATTGAAATGGTGTGTTAAACAATCATAAAAGGTGAATTTGCAGTTTTACATGCAAAGATATGTAAAATTGTGTCCAGGGAATTGAAAAAAACTGGAGAAACATCCTCCCTCCAATAAAGCAGCATATTTGATAACCCAGCACTACATCATTCCCAATGATGTCAGGTTAACAGAATGTCACTGTATTAATTCTTTTCTTTCAATACACATGGACATGAAGAAGCACAACTTCTTGTAGGTCCATTAATTCTATAATCAGCATATTTATTGCAATTATAGTAAAAATATATAATTTTAGATGTAAAAATAATTTTCTTTATTATATTTTCTTTCTCATCTTTACTTTTCATTTACATATAGCTGTTAGTTCTATTTTAAACAAATTTTCTTTGGTTCCAAAGTAAGACATTCTTGTAGGATATAAAAGGAATCATGTTTACGATTGAGTAATTCTATGAATACTAAACAATAGAACTCTGCTTTTTAAAAGCATTTTTACATTATAATTAATATGTTTTTTGTTATTTGTATAATTAATGAAAGTAACAAATTTATAGCAATTCTTAATTTATGTTGGCTATCAGCCATTAATTACTACATTAGTTCTGTTCCATGCTACAGTCAGTTTGCTTGTTAAGCTGACTACAGCATTGAATGTTTCTGTTTTTGTTGTTCAAAGTGTAAACTGAGAAGCTCGCTTTTATTGTGCAGAAGTACTTTTAAGAAGTATATTTATTTGCAATTCATTCAACAAGAAGAAATAAAATTTGTTTAATTAACACTGCAATAACTTTTGATTATTTCATGAGTTCTATACTTTCAAAAAGTTATTTTAAGAAGTTTCTTTTATTTGAAAATACAATGAATATTGCAGAACATAAGCATTGTAAAGGAATTGTCTTTTAATCTTAATTTTT